CGTTCTTGATCCTCTGATTGCTACTTGAAAAAGGGACGAATACTCCGGTCGGGGTGCCGGAACAAGTTAGTATACTTTCAAGTTTACTTCTATCTCAAGTTTTTCTATCTATTCTCACATACCTTTCTTTTGTTAACGTTTCCCCCTTCTTTTTTTTTTTTTTTGTTGACGTTTCCCCTTTTTATATTACCCTCTGGGCCAACGGGTTGGACCCATCCTTAATTTCGCACTTGATGGCTTATTCAGCCTTCTGATTGCTTGCTAGTTCCCATTTGGCTCTTTGTAAGGCCGACTTTACTCGATCTTAGATTATAGCCGAATCGACTTCGGCTAGGTCGGACTTCAACACATAATTTATTCGGCCCCCACATTAGTCTATATAGGGAGTTTGCTCTGACTTTAAATGGAGTCGGGATTGATCCCCTGGGATTAGTCAGGTGCGCGTAAGCTGACTCGGACACCCAATTATCCAAAAAAAAAATTAGCCCATGATTCCAACAATTCTGATTATCAATATATATATATATATATATGGGATTAACCCATGAGTTCAATATGATTCAATTTTGTCCGGTTTAGTAGTAAATCTATGAACAAACCACTAATTACAGTTTCATGAAATTTAAAATTAAACTAAACTATAAAAATTTTGTAATCAAACTCTCGTTTGGTTTGGAATTAAGATTTTTGAAAATTTGTCATCTCTCACAACATGTTCGATTTGGTTAGAAATTATGGTTTTTTAAATTGTGTCATCTTCTACAACATGATCACAAAATATTCCTCACAACCTATTAAAATATCAAACAATAAGTCATCATTTTTTAAATAATAATAATTTATATGATTGTTTAGAACTATTTTTTTCATGGTACAAAAGCACATTTGTAGGTGTATGGTGTTATCAACTTATGTATACATATATTTTGATCGGTGAACGTCATACATGTTTTGGATATGGTTTATTTTTTAATTATTTATTTATTTATTATAAAAAATCATATAAAAAAATAGAAAGATAATGTGACCCAAATAAGTCAATATGCTATCCTTTTTTTTTTGTGTGTTTATCACAGTTGTTAGTTGTTAAATTAGCAACTATAGGAGTGAACCTCCCCTACTCTTTGCAAAGTATCAAGTGTTTGACCCCTTAATTTAACTTTCCCTAAAAAGAGTTGAACCCATAATTTCCCTCTACCAACTAAGCCCTTGGGAAAGTCATAGTGGTTATCAACTTATGTATATAATATATACATATATATATATATATATATATAGCCCCAAGGTTTTGGTCTGGTGGATGAGGACTAGGAACTGGGGGTTTGCTCCCTACAATGTCTTAGGTTTGACTCCCTTTACTAGCAAAATTCTTGGGTCACAGACCGTAGAGAATTAACTTGTTTCGTAACGTTTGTTTGAACTATAAAGATGTAATCTGAAGTTTGCAAACTGGCCTAAGATACTTCACATATCAGAAAAAAAAAAATATAAATAGATTACAGATTTTAAGTGTGATGTATGTTAGTAACTTATGACACTTTAATGCTGTGTTTGGTTTGGGGATTTGGGAAGGGATTTGGAAAGGGAAAGGGAAAATATGTGTGAAACTATGTGAAATATAAGTATGATTTATTCACATTTCATCTGCTTTTTAGATGGTTGGAAAATTAATGGGATTTTACTGGTCAATTTCCCCTATATATAATAGATATATAATTATTGTTAATCGATTGTTGAAAATAAATTAACAAAATATAAGAAAAAAAAAGTGAGTGATTAATAGAAAGAACAAATTCATTAGTCCTAAAAGATGAAATTTGAAAATCTTGATTAGTGTTAAAAAGAAAAAAAAAAATATCATATCACAATATTTAGAATATCTATAGACAACACGAGGGAAAAATTGTAAAGCATCAAAAAAAATCAACGCTATCTTCAAAAACCTAGTGGGAAATTTTTGTAATTTTTCATAAACTTCAAGAGAAGGTTAGTATAAATTTATCTAAAATTATTTAAAAAAATATATTTCGACATATGTAATACAGAATAATAATTTTGCCCTATGCTACTTAAATTAGTCATCTTAAATAAATATATGTGATTGTTTTAGTTGATTTTTGTGACACCTATGTGTCATACTAGCAGATAGATACATGTACATAATTAGGAAGGATATGAGTCCGACACTTGATAGGTTTGCCTAAGCCAACCCTATGATTTATGGGCTTGTGATTTTAAGCCCATAGGGTTGGGTTAGGTAAAGCTTTTTAGGCCCAATTATAATATAGGTCAGGTTAAGAAGAGTGTTTCAAGCCAATTTATCTATTAATTCATATTATACAATAGACTTTTGCTTTTACTCTTTTATAAGAAATTTATAAATAAAATACTGTTATCAGTAGTTTGTAAAGTTGGTTATAATTTTTGAACTACTAGCTTTAAATAAGGTTTAAAGCACGCCAAAATTTTAAAATTAATTATAGTTTTTATTTAAATATGAAAAAAAAGATTTTATATAAATAATATTCAAGTTTGTTGGCCAGTTTGGGAATTTTTGTTTTGTTTATGGATGTACTTAAGAATAAAGTTATAGGTTCAATTTCAGATTGGTCGGGCAAGCTTAAGAAATGACTTAAGATTATTACTGTCAAATATCCAAGGTAGTTTAGCCTATCATCTTATAAAAGTGCAACTTAAGTAATAAATATATATATTCATTTTATATGATATTAATTATAATGTTAATAACTAACATGCAGGTGTTAATTTAAATTGATATTTCTTAACATTATTGTTAATGTAAAATTGTTGCTAAATAAATGCAGGTGTTAATTTAATTCAATTATGGATGTGTATATCAATATGTACAAACATATCTTGAAGCCTTGGGAACTTACAGTGAGTTAAGGAAGTGAGGCTATAAACTAAAGCAGGAAAAATAAAACTACTTCCAATGGGAGATTCTCTGTTTGGAGCAGGGGAAGTAATGGGGTGGAACTGGTGGGATGAAGAAATGTGTTCTGTTCTGAGGAGGTGGTCTTCAGTCGGTTGAATAGGCTTCTTCTCTACCATCACTCATCCTATCGGCTAGTGTACCGAATCCGTGGGTGTGCTGACTGGTTGTGGATTAAAGGATTCTATTTTTCAGTTTGCTATTCATTTGGTGTAGATTGGTGTCTCGCCATTGTTTGTCGTGTGCTCGGATATGATTGTACTAGTTTTTTTTTTTTGGCGCGAACCTAGTTAGTATTAGTAAGTGTAGCTAGACACACTCTACTAAAAAATCACTTTTTGCGACCGCTAAACGTCGAAAAATAATAAAAAACAGTCGCAAAAGACTTTTTGCGACGGCCATGCGACGGAAATGGGGTCGCGAATGTGGGGTGGCAAAATACTTTTTGCGACGCAAAATAGCAGTTGCAAACTATTTGCGACCGCCTATTCACTTATCGCGAAGTATTTTTGCCGTCGCAAAAAAATTAAAAAATACCTACAAGTATTAGCGACCATCTTGTTACCTGAGTCGCAAAAAAAATATAAATAAATAAAATACTAACAATGTTTTAGCAACTATATTCTCCATATATATATATTATATATTCAAGTAGTATATACAATAAATATAAAGTGATATTTGCAAAAATTCTAATACACATGTATTATTTTCCATCACTTCCCTCAACAAATTATCTTTCTTCAAAAAAAAAAATTGTGCATACAAAATAAAACTCTTATACACAGAAAACAAATATCCATCAACCATCCTTTAAAGTATTTATACAAAATACTAATAGATTCATTACTAAAAAAAAAACGGAAATTTAACTCTCAATATCACCCACCTCAATCATATCAACTACTCCCTCAACATACTGCAAAAATATACATCAATATATTAATAACAAAGAATCAGCTCCATAGAAAAAGTTTTGTTCATGCATGCACAAAATTGTTTGGTTGAACACAGCCTAATAGACAAAACCACCAAGTTGAAACTGCTAAACAAATCAACCGCCCACTGGTTGGGTGAAACCAAGTTGAAACTGCTTAAACAATCAACACAAAAACAAATGTTGAAACTTGAAAGCATGATTATCTTTATAGAAACTTAAGAGATATTTATAGTAATAGAAATTAATTAACATTTAAGCTTAGAATTTGAATTCATCCCCTAATCATGGGGTTGGTCAATAATTGTACCCTAACACCATACCTTTTCTCCAACAGTTAAACCCAACCTCACAACTGTTATCAATCTTTAAAAAAAAAAAAACCAACTCACATTTCTCTCTCTCTCTCTCTCTTCTCTCTCTCTCTCTCTGTGCTAAAGAGTTAAGTTGTTTAGCTCAGTACAACCCATTGAAGAGAAACAGAGCTTAGAAAGCTAGAATTCACACAATGCATGTTAACAGTCACTGTTTTTTTCTCTCTACCCACTGACCACCTTTCTCTTACCTTCTCGCAGGGAGAGCTTGACTTCCCACCTTCCAAACACTACCCACTTCAGGTAACGCTGGAAATTTAGCTGCTATATATTATGGTATAGTTTTTGGAATTTTGTTTGTCACACCATTTTCTATTTTTTCCTATTTTCTAGTGGGAAGAGCATGGTGAGGTGGTTTTTTTGGGGAGCAAAAGATTTCTGAGGAGGGACTCATTATATCTTTCCTCTGAATTTCATCACATCTCATCTCGTGTTTGGCTGCAAAAGGACAGAGAGGAAAGACCCTCTTAATGGTTCAAAGAAATATACAGGAGGTGAACATTAGCAATGAACATTACTGGCTGTAAGTTCTATTACCTCTCCTAAAAACCTTGAATTTTATTATTTTTCTTGATTTTCTAGATGTTATAAAAACATGTGTGTATAGATGTGTGTATATAATATATGTATATTGCATAGTCTTATCTTTAGTTATATATATATTTATATAATAATAAATACATGCAGAAATATAGGTAGGTGGCATACCTATTCATTTTTCTTTGAAGCTTGCTGCCCACTAGATGCATCTGACACCTACAATATGTTAGTTATATATGTGTTAATAATTCCATATGTATAATGCAAATTTGAATAATTGTGTAACTATAAATCTTTTCATGCAAGTATGATTTCCCTCTCAATTGCATTGGCCATTCAAAGAACAAGAGATCCGTATACAAGTCACAACGATGTCTCCTACGCTCGTAACTATTAGAACCGACATTGTAAATTGAATAAAAACAACCACCAAGAAACTAAGAATATTTAACATATATTAAAACTTTTCTTATTTGCATAAGCACGACATTTTAACAATATTTTAAACTTTTCTTATTTGCAAATAATAGAAACCTAAGAAACACGGAGTAAAGTTCAACCCTCTTCCTCTCAAATCCAATCCAACAAGAAGAGTTCAAGCCATCTTCATTCAACATCAATTGTTGCTGCCTTCTATCCTTCTCTCACCCACCAATTTTTTTGGCATAGCCGATCATAGAGTAATCCACAATTTTGAGTTTCTTTCTGTTTTAATCTATTAAGTTCTTGTGTTTCTTTGATAGGTTAAATTTCAATATTGATTCAATTGTAGATCATTTTCTGTTTGAACACCGGTCAATATACAAATAAAAAAATTTGATTCTACTCCTGCAGTTTAATATGTGTGAAGTAATGTTGAACATTCTATTATGCGAACTTGGAATCATTGTAACTTTCTTGAGTGGAAATTAAGAAGTATACACGCTTTACTATAAAAATTCAGTCTAATAGCCGTTACAGTCTATAGGCCCAAAAATTTAATTATTTACTTCTTGTCCAGAATCGTCTTCATCTAGTTTCGCATACAGTCCCATAAAGGGTACTAACTCCTATGGTACGATAAGGGTGGAAGCAACCTGGCATCAATTTTGAGAATTTAGGATAAGAATTTACGGAATCTCAGCCCAAATAGGCTCAAGGCTCCAGCAACACATTCAATAGACTGAGGGATTACATTGTTTTCTTAAATTTGTTCACCCGTGAATTCCATACTTTGAAAATTATTTCTGTTTCCACATTTATAAGTTTTACTATTTACAATATTGTAATACTCAAACAATAGTGTCTCTGAAAAATGAACACTTCTTATTTGGAGTACATTAGCAAAGAGGGTCATGAGTACTGACTCTATCTATATCTGCTTCACCATTCCTGAAAGAACGATTTTCTGGAAGTTCCTCTGTTTCAACCACATCATGGAAAAATAGGTTTCGAAGATTATGTCCCACAAACCCAATAAAGGTTGGCAGCTGTTATCTTCCATAATTAAAGCATCATCTCCAGTACTTGACAAGGGTTTTAAGAATATTTTTGTAAAATTAAGAAAAAATAAATAATTGTATCATTATTGGAAGCAAAAATATAAAGATTAGAATCGAAGGTATCATACCGTTAAATCATTGTAATTATTAATGCATTTCTTTAAAAGTAGTTTATTAACTTTTGATAGGGTTTTGTGTGGGAGATCTGTTTAACTAAACAGTGTAAAGTCCTTAGGCAACTACTTGTGCCAACCTTCTATATAGTTGACAAAGTTTTTCTTCCAGTTATTGGTGGTTTCCTCTTTATTTCCTGAAAGAAAGCACAAATCATGATTGGGTGCCATCATATTTTCTTATTATATCAGGTGATGTCATTATGTAACATCAAAAATCAAGGATTAAAGATATATGTTTCCTAATTTTTGGTATTAGAAATCTTAGTCCCGTCATTCATGTGGATTGATTTATATTGCAGTCTGGTTAGCAGTTTGGTTATATTTCCTTTTTATATCTATTTATCAAAGGAAAAAAAAAACATTTCTCTTTTATATCTACTTTTCCCATTTAGGTCTATCACCTGGACTATGGTAAAGCTTGGATTTGTCCAACATGAAAATGTGGGTGTCCATTTATATGTATCTGGACTATGGTAAGTTTAAGGGTAACCATTTCATGCATTATAAAGTGGGTGTCCACCTCTCTTTCAGCAAACCAAATTCTTAGAGACATGTATATGTATCTGTAATTATGATGCTCATGGTCCTGTAAGTAACCTATTTGTTCTGTGATCTAAACACTTATAAGCAGAAGTCCAGTGGATTTTAAGGGCATTATGTGTAGTGGAAATTAAGTATCGCGAATGATTTTTATTTTGACAATATACAAATTGTATGAATACCATATTACCTGATATTTGAAACCATGAGTGTGAGAGATCAAGCTAGGGTTAAGTATTATTAATTGGTTTCCTGTTCTTAAGGTTTATCATAACATTATCCCCTGCTTCAATGGAAAGCAATTTATTTTATATTTTTTTTGCTAAATGCTAGTCTTTCTTTACTGTTTAATAATGAATTATTAAAAAATGAAAAGTAGTTATGATTAATTGGTAATAATAATTATGTCATCTGATTTCAGCACCATGCTCATGTGTAGCGATGGTGTACTAAAACTTTGAAGCTTTTCTGACATCAAATGAAGAAAATGAGGGGAGAGAGAGAGTGTGTAAGATTTCATTTTCAAATTCAGATTACCTTTAGCTTTCAAACTTGGACTTGAAAACTAACATGAGTGCCCCATGGCTTATCTCATAAGCACGCTTCTAAGTGAGAACGTCTATCCTAACAATGCTTGCTCAACAAAACTAATTTAATCACAATCAATCAATCCAATCATGCTAAAACTAATTTTAAAATCCTACAACTCAATTATAATAGTGAGAAAACACGCATCGATTAGTTTGAAATGAAGGCATTGAGGTCGTTGTCTAACCTTAATCAATGAAATAACTGTCAACATTAAGTCTCTCAGAAGTCCTTATACGCTAGCTGAGTTAGGTTTGGGCTTGACCTGTAATGACAGAAACGAGAGTTAAAAAATATTAGATCTAGAATTTTTTCTTTCCTAAATAGAACATGTCCTGATTTTATTCAAAGCACATGTAGCAAGCCATGAATGAACAGCATATTCAACAATTTTGGCAGAGAGAAGTAATTTGAAGCAATTCAAGCGATGAAGTGTTTCCAACATTATTATTTATTCAATTAACCCTTCAGAGACAGATTAATCTGACCCACATTTCGAAACAGTGAAGATGAAGCTTACAGATTAATCTTCAATATGCTCAGATTGAATTTATTATTTATTCAATCAAGTTTCCACATTACAGATTAATTCAGCCATTACAAAAAGTAATCGATGAAGATGAAGATGAAGATACAGATTAATCACCATTACATAGAGTAATTCAAGTTCAATTTACATGTTACAAATTAAGCGATGAAGATGTGTCATTACAGAGAGTAAGATTCGAGCGATGAAGATGAATTCGATGAAGATGTGTCAAACGTTACAGAGAAAGACACAAAGAGAAGTATTTAGGCTTACCGATTATGAATCTTGATTATGAATCAATCGAATCTTCTTAACAGCATCTTC